CTCGATGAAGAAACACTTAGAGATTAGTGGAATAGTCTAAGTACGAAAACAAATATATAGACATTGTATGTGTGAAACTTTTGAACAGTATGTGAGTAAAAACAGTACTTAGAAAATTTGAATAATTAAAAAAAAAATCTCCTTCAAAACCTAAGTAAATGAATTATATAAATAGTGTAGAATAAAATGTTCTGCATTCCAAAAGAGGAGCTGTCAACATAATCAGATTCCCAGTGCTGAAGGCCAGCATCCATATATGTACATATGCTAGCATCCATGCAGCTTATGAGAACGAACAACAGTCATCAAAAGAGTTTCTAGTCCCTCAGATTTCAAACAACAGAAGCACCTTATTTTTTAAGCTACAAGTACATAAAATCTACCAAATAAAAACTCTCTACCTTGGTTGTTTAGACAGGAGGATTAAGATTACTGTTACGGCCAGCCCACATGCTCCGAAGGTAACAACTAAGAACCACGGAAACTCAATTTCTGAAACAACAGAACAAAATCATGTCAGCAGGAATCTCTACCTCTGTTGCATCTTTAATTTCACCTTTCTCTTCCACAACCTGCAGACTGAAAAGTAATAAAAACTGATAGAATTTTTGGTTAGTTAGATGTGAATGTTCTGTCTTAAGCAGAAATCTCAACTTGGTCTCAATAGCTTCCGTACTGCATTTGTGAGTCCACTAAGACTCCTTGCAAAACCAGACTGAATTTTTAAATATAAACAAGATCTTAATATAGTCAGTATATGTAGCAAAACCAGCCATGAAGAACATTCTGCCTGCATGGAACATGCTACCAGAAGTCCTGACTGCATATAATACCACAGATGATGTTATTGTTTGTTTGCGTAAGCTGAGGGAATATTTTTAATAGTATGCTAAATCAGAGACAAACTATTCTTTTCTCACAGAAACCAAAATATGATGGTGTCAGAAAGCATATGACTCTTTCTAAAGGCTGAACATTAATTATGTTGTGAACCATCAACTGAAAAAAAAACTTCTCTCTTTTGCAGGTTGCTACAAAGAATTTAGGTCACTGAAATGCAGTTGGGTAGGAATGAAGAACAACACTGGTAAATACTGGCAATTCCATTATACTTAAGCTGACAATGTAGAATATAAAGCAGAAAGAAATTTATTCTGTCTGTAGTGTTAGATTCTTCTAATTTTTTCCCAATTTTAAATTTTCCATACAAACTTGACACATTTTTTTGGCCAAGGAATACTGGACAGAAAGCTTTTGAACCCTATATATGAATATACATCTTTTTGGGGTAAAAAAGTCATAAACTTCAGATAACAGTTTTAACCCTGCACTCCCAGCTTAGATTTTGACTGGACATGTTTTCAGGCATGGCTAAGGTCCTATCTAGATATGCCTGTGTTAAGTCACTATTTTAATGGAGAATCAGTAACTCCTTGTCATGTCACTGACAATGTCCAGCTGCTTCAAATAATTAGAACATTGAACTTGAATTTAACTACTCTGAATTTTAGTTCTGTTTTCCTAAAAGTGATATACAAAACAGGCAAGAATAAATTCTCAGTCAGATCAGATCACTGCTGCTGCATGAGATGTATGGATATGGATCAACTTCCAGAATCTGTGTTGTAGTCACTAAAGAAAATTGCTTGTAGGATGGCCCTAGAATGCCATGTCCAGAATATCAGCTGTTCATATAATTTAGGAATGAAAACTGTAATACGAAGAGTTAAAAACGGGACTCTAGCAAGGCTTTGAAAGATAAGAGTTATGGGTGGTTTTATATAACACCCTCACTAATGCTCTGGAAAATTGAGTAGCTTGTTAAAATAATTTGCTGAAGAGCTCATATTTTGGAGAGTTGATTTAATTTAGTAGCTCAGACCTGAAAATACTTCAGGAAAAGGCACTGTTTCATTCTTTTAAGAGAAAATATGTGGTGCTCAATGGCTGTTTCTTCTGTCTTTAATAGCACTTCAAAAACAAGTTCAAGACAGAAGCAAGAATAAGAAAAACACTCACTGTTCTTTTTAGTATTGAGCAGTTCAGAAAAGCACATAATTCTGATAAACTTAGCCAGCAATATAACACTTTAATAGCAGTGACAATACTTCATTACTGGAGTGCTCATTTTAGATGATGAAGTATGAGATTTAACTATATTTTAGGCTCTGTAAGATGTGCAACAGCAGTTATTTTTTCTGATTCTTAAAGTTAGCAAAATTTCTGCTCTCTGATGAGCTGTGAAACAGTCTGGTTTACTTCTGAACTTCTATATGGAACATGTACACTCTCAATCTCACCCAATGTTTTTCATGTAGTAGGTTGAATTACCAATCTAATCAAGCATGCAACATCAACAGTAAGGAGAAAAACACAACAAACAACTAACGCACCGTCAAAAAGACAAATCAAGAAAGCACGATTATAAAAACACCTTGCTGCACATCACCTACTTACCTTCATCACAATGAACAAATTCAATGCCTGCTTGAGAAAATGATACATAAAGGATTTCACTGAACTCCCCAAATTTTTCAGAGGTGCGTTGTCTTGAACGGACTCGTATCTCATAATCTCTTCCCATCTTCAGAGAGTACAGTGGAACCAGTGTTGAGGTCCTGGGTTCTAACTGTAAAGACAGCAGGACTGTGATTTATTTGTTTGAATGGTACTGGCAATTCTACACTGCTTCTTCATTTCAGAAGTAAACATTTGAAAGTGTTTTTGCTATGTGGAACTGTAAAGATACCACATGAAGAATTCAGAGAAAATTCATGCCATTTACTTTTAACTTACTAGTTATCAGATTTTGCTATGATTCAGGAGGCCAAAAGCAGAGAATCCAAGCTCTCTGTAAATACAGTCAGTGAAGAAAGGCAGCTGCCCCCAGTTATGGGCCATGAGTAGATGTGTGAACATCTCTGATTTTACCAAGTTCTAAATCCTTACTGTTGTAACACAACATTACGGACTTCACAAGGCCCAAACCTTGCTAAAATAAACTAGTGCAATCTCCACTACAGAATTAATTTTAAGAAGAAAAATTACTTAAAGCCCTTCTAACCAGGTGTACTGCATCTTAGAAATCTATTTATTTGGGGAACAAAGCATAGCTCCCAAAATCTTCAACTATATGTAGAATGTGAGAATGAAGACTCTGTGAGAGAAGGCATCAGATTGTTGGTCTTGAAACTTCTGTATTATTAACTGCAACCTACTTAGATACTGCCAAATTTCTAACTATGTAGGAGGTCTCAATAGGTCTTAATATATGAATTCCCTCTATTCTATTGGCATCCCTGCCCATGACAGGGAGGTTGGACTAGATGATCTCTAAGGTCCCTTCCAGCCTAAGCCATTCTATGATTCTATGGTTTTATTATTTCTCTAAGAATATGTATTTTAGCTCCAGTCACCCAACAAAAATATATAAAAATAAGAAAAATATGCTGAAAATAGAAACACATGTGGCAGATGTTATACTCTACTTTTACTTGATTCTGATCAAGGATCAAACTGACAAAACTCATCATGGGCTAAGAATTATAACATTTGGAAAACAGCAGCCATTGGGGATCTGAAGAAAGCTTCAACAATACAGTCCTACAATTAGGATTAATTGCATCATCTACACTTGAGGCACATTCTGTGGATTGCTACTATCTGTGGACTTCCCTGATGGCTCCAGACTCAAGTGTCTGAGAACCAATGAGTCAGATTTTGGAGGAGGCATTGATCCCAGATGGACTGCTTTTCTCTGCTAGTAGTTGTGTATAAGATCGTGGAGAACCATTGCTCTACAACACAAAGGTTTTTAACACCTGAAGACTATCCAGTTGGAAAGGAATACAATACATACTTAGTTTGTGTTGTGAAGGCACAATGAAATTGTACATTACCATTTTACAGGTAGGTTTTTTGGTATTTTTTTTGTTTGTCTATTAGGCTGAGTCTTTTTTGTTTTGTTTAGGTTTTGTCTTTTTTTTTTTTCTGAGACAATTGGTAGAGATTCTTAGGAATGCTGGATTGCACAAAACTTTATGTACCCCAAATAATGGTGGTCCTTGGAAAAAGCAGTATGCAGGCTAAATCTGAGTCCTGAGAAATATGCCCAGCCATGACAGGCAACACAGCATCCAAGGTAGTGGATCCAAAGCAGCTTTAATAGAAAAATAGGGAAAACTGAGAGATGGGTACTACTAGGGCAAGGTTCAGAAGTACCCAAAGCAGGCATAGCACAGGCTTTGGTACCCATACAACACATGGAGATGTCAGGCTATACATCCAATGCAGTGCATGGAGATGAGTTTTGCATCCCTCAAACTAGTAAGCCTGGTATCGCAGACACAGTGCTGTACAGACATCATGATGGTGTTCGTCTCTGGAGTTAGTACACCACGCTTTCCTGTCCTAAGTGCATCACATGGCAGTGCGAAATGGACCTTTTACAGCAAAAATTCAACAAGATAGTGAGAGCCAGCGAAGACCTCCCTTGTCCAGCCCTCTTCATGAAGGACTGAGCTGTGATCACCAACTTCATCCCATATTTGGTGGATCTGGACCTGTTTTATGTATTTTTTTTTCACCTGGGCTTTTTTTTTTTCTTTTTAAGTAAAAATATCAGTCCAAAAATGTGATAAATACCTAAAGAAAAATAAGACATACAAGATTCCCTATCACACATATATATTTTTAGGCACTTCATAGACACAACACTTCCCTACAAATTCATCACTCTTCACTATTGCTTAGATGTGTGTTTTCACAACTTGTCTGAAAAACAAAGCAGCCTCACAGGACCTATATAGCTGTCACTAGTCATCACCATTAAATTTGGATAGACATAAAAGGGGAGAAATTTTTAGTCTAGTGAATGTAATGGGCAACATTTCAAGACAAAAGGACAGAATTTTAAAAAGATACCCACAAAAGGAGTTAATAACAATGATGAATTTATTTCAAACTGTGAGCCAGATTATGTTTGGCTTTGTCTCATGAACATCTGCTATACGAGGGTGGGAATTCTATTGTTTTTAGGAAGTTTCTCAGAAAAGAATTTTGATCCTTTTATCTCTATAATTTACTGTTATAATACTTTACTAATTAATGTTATAGTCCTCTTTCCATTCATAAGTTAGCCATTTTAAATTAGCAAATGGATTGAAAAAAATGAAGGCTATACACAAAGAATTGAATAGCTTCATCCCAAAACATCTAAAAAAAATCACAACCAAAACTTAGTCAAGGGGAGATGGTACAATTTAACTACTATCAATTATTTTTTATCTTTTTTTTGGTATTGGTTATATTACAAAGCATTATGGTATATTTAAGCAGTCAAAGATTATCCTCCTTGTAAAAAAACCAGTAATAGCAGTGTAACTAGACATTTCTTTACTGCTTCAAAATTCATTATGGAAGGTATTTGCAGCAAACAATGCAAAGTCATTGCTCCAATGCTGTTATTCAGAATTTTGCTGTTGTGTTAGGCCTGACCAAGAATTTGTTCAGAAATTTCTCTTTTGTGCTCTGATAATGTCTCAGGGAATTATGCCATGTGTCATGCTTTTAATCTGAAAGGCACAATAGCATGCAACATATACAGTTGCAGTACAACATAATCTACCCTATTATGTTTCTTGAGGCAAGTATAATATTCAGAAATTTCTTATCTGTTTTCTGAAAGAAGAAGCGCTGATCTTAAAACCTTTGCTCTGTGAGAACTATTCTCAAGGCATGCTGGAATTATTGATGGTACCGGAGGAAAAAGCTTTTTTTAAAGTATTTATGTATGACTGATACCTAAAACTTATAAAAACCCAACAACAACAGTGTCCATTTTTCAAGAGGTATCCATATTGCCACCTGCTTTTGTAAATCCAACAAATACTCTACAGATTTTCAAGTTCTTAAGAAGTATTGATTTACTGCCTATACTTAACTAATTTCACAGGCTTTAACATATAGATGCTATACAGTAAGTACAGTTTAAATCAGTATAAAAATTAAGTTATAGACAGTACAGGCTTGTGTGGCTGTAAACTTACTAATAATGAGTAAGATAAATGGAAAGTGCTAACGTTGAGAAAGATCAGAGGTGATGAGGTGTCCAAGGTCTTTCACAGAGGAAGGCAAGAAAATCAGTTTGACTTGGTATTTCACTTGGTAAATTTGCCTTTTGTAGATTAAGACAAACTTGTAACAGTATTCTTTCATGTTGTCAGTTAACTCAGTTCATATTAATAGGAAAGCAAAAGAAGGGTTCTGCTCTAAAATGATGATCTTATGGCATAGAACTGGTATTCAGGAAGAGTTCATTTTCACCATGTACCAATATGCCATAACACACTGGCACTTAGCCTAGGCATTCAAGTAAGCTGGGTACAATTTCCTCCCCATGACAGGAAAATTAACTACTGAAAAGTTAAATGATTTTTAAAAAGAATACTTAAAACATTTGGAGTATATATACTTTATATTTTCATGGACTATCCATATAGTCGTAAATTTCCCATTGATGTCTGGTATGAAAACTGCATGTCTTATCTATATTGCAGTACTTTATTTGCCTGTTGTATCAAACTGTAAATTATATGTCAAAGCTTTTTTTTTAAAAAAAATCTAATGAAATAATAATTATAAATATTAGAATGTTACAGGTACCCTGAAGAATCTGGGCTGACATGGTGACATTTTCCAAGAAAAATATTTCTGTTCGAACTACTAAAAAATACTATGTGCTGCTTCAAATATCTGAGGTTTAGGAAAACAATAGAGAAGTATCTTTTCTTTGAAGAAACTTGTATATATCTGGTTATTGCTATACTTTTTAACATAGGGATTTCAAGGATTGCTATTATTATTTGGCATGCCAACTATCTTGACACATAAAGTTACAATGTTTGCTAGAAGACTTCAGAAGAATATGGGTATATTGTTTAAGACTTAAGATATCATCTGAGTAGCAATTAGAAACCTGTTGCTTTTCACAGTAGTACAAAAGTGTCAGAGGAAGAGCAAGTTTGCACTGTACTATTGTATAACAAATATTTGCTTCATACCTCTTTCCATTTTGTCTCATTAACTTCTTTGTATTGCAATTCATACTCCAGAGTAATCCATCCCTTCTGAACATCTGCAGTTGGTGGCGGATCCCATCTTACTTGAATATCCCCATGGATCCCAGTCTGACTAGTATTTAGCAGAGTCCAGTTAAGGTGGACAGGGGGGTCAGGTAGTACTGTTTAAACAGAGTATTTGGAATAAAATTGCCAGTTTTCAATGTGAAATGATAATTCTTACTACACAGCGTTATATTATTTCAGGACTAGAAAAGTGTATTAACCACATTTTGCTGATCAGAATCTAAATGTACAAGTCAATGACGAAGTCACTACAAGTTTTGTAACAAAAAGGCACTCTACTATTGGAAGTAGACATACTCTGCATAATTCTCACCTGAGTGACTAATAAAGAAGACTAAGAATGTATTACCTACTGCACTACATTTCCCAAGAGCAGCTTACAGAACACGGAGACATAAACAATTCTCCATCAAAATTTAAATGTAGAATTTCACTAGAAATAAAAAACAATAACTTGAGTAACACAGAAAGATAAATTAGATATTTAGTAACTTATATACAAGTACATTGAAAAACTATGTCATGTGAAAAATTGATCTAATTTTGCTCAGTGAAGAAAAGAGAACAGTGGGTATTCCAGTGACTTGCAGGAATTAATTTAACACATACACATACACTACTACTTTGAACAAGCGGTAACATCTGCGAAGTTCCAGACAGTCATGATTCATATTGCAATAAATATAAATTTTAGCTTAAAAATGCTAAACATCTTAATTCTGCAGATTAGTCTTGATTAAGGAACAAAAAAACCGTCTGGTTCCAGAACTTGGCAGCTCCTACTCACAGTGAACAAGGGGATATATCATCCATTAGAATGGGCTCAAAATGACAGCAAAGACAAGCTCATCTGCACACACTGAGAGACTGTTGGTACTTAGAAAGGAAACCCCATATTTGCTTTTATCCTTTTAGTTTTCTTCCAGTCTGAGCAGTATTTTCTAGTGTAGATCATGTAACTTATGCTACTAAAACAAATCCCTTCCTATATATCATGTTTTTTAGAAACTAACCTTTCTGAAAGGGAAAAATTAAATACTGTATGAGTAATATGAAACCTTATAGCATCACATCTATATAAAAATATAGAGATAAAATGCATACGAGAGGCATACCTATTTCATCAACACTGAAACATTTTTCATCAAATACTTCATCTTTATTGGCAAGCTTAACACAGTAAGGTATCCAAATAGAGGTGTAGGACGTGTTGAAATAACAGCTATTTTCTCCTGCAGTGATATAATCAGGGCATTCTTTCCAGTCTTCATCATTCCTAGAATTACAACAAAAATGTCATATACATGAGAGATTTATAGATCTTAATTCATGTTACAAGACACATTGTTGATAAGTTATAACTTTTATGGAAGTGAGAAAACCAGGTTAATACCGACGGTGATTTACAATGAAACCAAACCACTATCCCAGCCACCTGCATAAATGAGTTTAGGTTCTTATGGACTGTTAGTGATATTTCTATGCTTTGGATACTCCTTCTGAAAGAACAGACAGCAAGCACATCTTGCTGTGCTGGCAGGTGCTAATGATTACCAGCAAGTAAAAATTTTGGTAAATCTGATATGAATTTAAGCAACTGTTGTTCAGGGCAAGTTAGACTGCAGTAAGATGTCCACCTTCATAATGAGGTCTGCATCAGTGAAAGCCACTCCTTATGGCAGATCAGCACTGCACCACCTGCACAGCCAAGGACAGGGGAGTGCGCTGCCCTGGGGAGCTGAACTGGGATGTTGGCACTGCAGCACTGACAATGCACACGGGAAAGTGCCCAAGGGCGGATGCTCCAGGAGATCTGGCACAAACCAGCCCAGGACTGCAGGATGTGAATGAAGTGAAGAGAAACACAGCACTGTGAAGTGAGGAAGGGCTAAATTCCTTGTGATACAGAACTTCTAAAATGGAGGCTTGAAACTACTAGCAAGAAACCTCTTATGTTTTCCGTTCAGACTTTATTCCAAAATTCATAAATGTTCTTTGTAAATAAAAGAATTATAGCAGGAAATATCACATTATTTTTATCTCTACCAACAGAGTTATAAAGAGGGGTGTGAACTCTCAGACTGAGAAATACTGCTACTTGTGTAGGGTCATTTTCATATGGCCAAGATGAAACTACTCAGCGGGTTCAAAACCTAAAAGGTCTTCAGTTAAAGCAAAATGGGAATGACCAAATTGTTAGAAATAGTCTATGAGAAAAGTAACAGACATTTATTCATTATTTCTGAAGTCACTTAAAACCCCCAAATCTCATAGCCAACAGCTTTGCTGTTGCTTTGCTGTTGCTGTTGCTGTAACAGTATCTCGCAATGCAAATACAGATCAAATCCAGATCTTTTTAATATTACAGTCTTGGTTTGTTAAAACATACTGTAAAAATTAAAAAACCACTGTAAATGCCTTTTCTTACTAAGAGCCATTGAAGCTGTACAGGAAGATTAAGCTAAATCAATTATGTCAAGTGCAGCCTTCATGGATGTTTAAGATGTAAAACGGCAGATACTACCTAAATTGAGTATGAAGCATTTCCGCCACTATGCACCAGTCTTGTGCTTAGCTGATGAGAACAGACACTTTTCTAAAGGAAATGCTGTAGCTGAGACAGTCAGGACTTGAAAAAGGTGAACATGATTAGATTCTATGGCTTGTGTAAAGTAGGACACTAGGTTAGATGATAAGGGCTCAGCCTTAAATGCTGACACGGAAATACTTCTAATGCAGATGTTTAATTCATATCTTTTATTGCAGTATGGTAACTTCTAGGACAAAGATGAAATATGCAATCTGCTCAACATACGCAGTACTGCTCATAGTACCTTCCTCTGACAACTGTGAAATAAACATTTACACTTACATACTGTTTTTATTTTGGTTCCCTGTATTTCCAGAGGACTCAGAAGATTAAGTAAGAAAGCTCGCCTTGCCATTAGGCTAAAATTTGTTAAACAAATATATCATCATCAGTAGAAAGTCTCAAGCAAAAATGTTGAAACCCAGTGTATTAGACAGAACAGAAACTCACATCCTCCTATTCCTGCAATCAAAAGGCCTGTTTTTCTTAACAGCGATTACGGGTAACATTTATGTCCTCTTTCAGGCTAATCATTGTAACAACTTGAAAATTACAAAAGCTTAAGTGGAATTTGAATCAGAAATGAAATGTAATCCCCAGTCTCAGAGCAGCCTTTTCACCTGGATGTGCACATTCAGACTTTAATCTAGCAACTGATCAATGGAAGCTTTATAAAACTTGAATAAAAAATTGAAAGTCCATGTATGTGCACATATACAACAAAATTCACAGTTGCAAATGGAGTTGATATCTGAAGTTCCCTAATAAAAATTGCTTTCTCAAGCCATACAGTATTCAGTTTTGGATTCTGCAACCTGGACCTCAATTTAATAAGAATGTGTTCTTCATTATCTGCCAAATAACGCTAGTTGGTGCAAACTGCTTAATAATTAACTACAAATTTTGACAATGACAAATACACACTTAATAAACAGTTCTATGCCCTTAAAAACATTATGGCTCACATCACAGCAACGAGCTAACAGGCACAGCAAAATACAGGACTTCTTTCTCTTTTCCTCTTTCTTTTGTTCTTTCCATAATATTACCTTTTCATGTACAATAGCTGTATTGTTCCTGGAGCAGTGAGGTTATAAAAATTTCCATCAGTCCAATAACATGAAAATGTCTCCAGTTCAGGTGATCGGCACTTGCTGATTTGTGGCCACTGCAGAAGATCTGTCAGGAAAAATGGCAGGGGACAAGAAAGGAGGAGACACATTAAACAAATCCATGACCCAGACTAACATGCTGTTAAAAAGAAACTCAGCATTTTTAAAGAATAATTAACTTTTCTTCCAAGTCTTTATGTACAATGAGGAACATTTAAACTCTTCTTATGCACATTGCGAATATTGCTCTGGCGCACTAAGACATAGTCAATGAGGTGCCAGTGCTTGGATCAAAGATGCATCCACGTTGTCTTCAAGCTGTCTTTCTGCTCACCATCTGGTGATAGTGAGCTGCTGCTCTGCTCAATACTCTAGGCATACAGAGTTTTTGGAAAACTCCATAAAAGAGTCTGGTGCAATAAACACCTGAAGAAAAGTATAAAGATTAGTGTCTACAGACCCACTGTACTGTCTACTCTTTTATATGGGTCTGAATCATGGGTCTTCTACTGCCACCACCTGCAACTCCTCGAACATTTCCATCAGTGCTGCCTCCGTACAATCCTGAACATCCACTGGAGTGACTACGTGACTGATGTTACTGTCCTTGAATGGGCAGGGGTCACCAGTGTTGAGGCCATGCTGCTGAGGACGCAGCTGCGCTGGGCAGGGCACGTCTCCAGGATGGAAGATCACTACCTCCCTAAGGTTGTGCTCTGTGGTGAACTCGCCACTGGCTGGCACAACAGAGGGGCCCCAAAGAGGAGATACAAGGACTCTCTGACACAAAAC